CTCCCCATTGGCACCTTGAGCCATGAACTCTCCCAAAGCAGCACCATCACGTGCAAAAGCCACAAAACTGAATAAATAATTAATTAAATAAATAAATAAATTGATCCATCAGTAGATACTGGGTGTCCAAAGGAGCAGCTCCCCTTTTAAGAAAGCCTCAAGCCCAGAGTCCTCCAGGAGAAAGGAGAATTGGTAACCCTTACCTTTGTGTCCATTATGTGTGCAACAGAGTAGGTTATAAGGAACAGAGAGTCAACTTTTCATTCATAGTCAAAGGTGTCACACACTTGCTTGTGAAAGCTCCAGGGACCAGACCAAGAAGCTGGTGAGACCAGCACAACTCAGACCTCAATGTCTTCCTGTGGGCATTTGACTCCAGAATTCCTTCTGTCTTGGGGTGAAGAGGTTGGTGGTGAAGGAGCCAGGCCACAGCAGACCAACATGTGCTGGTGGAAAAAACAGAGGTGGAAAGTGAGGCTTTCTGCAAACTTCATATCCTTTGAAGACTTCCAAGGCCTGAAAATTAATTTTCTTGCCCTGAAAATATTTGGACATGCCAGGATTCTTCCACTGCAACTGGGGACAGAAAATCCACTAGGGCTTTTTTCCCTACAAAAAGTAACTGATCAGGAAGTACCCTGTTGTGCCTGTTCCCGGGGCAGCTACCTGCAATCTCCATGCTGCTTTGATGACCCCTGCAGGGACAAGTAGTAAAGGTCTTGAGTTTTTAATCCCTTCCTCACCTAGAAGAGCTGTGGTGTGGTCATGGACACTGCCTCAGATTCTTGCTGAGCTTGAAAGGAAGAGTCTGTTCACGGAGATATTCAGGTGTCAGGAAAAGCTCGAGATGGGAGTAATGCTCTCCTGAGCCCTAAATCAACTTTTTATGAGTGTCTCAGTTTACCAAGACAGAAATGTTTGTTATGGAGGGCGGGATATGAGAAAAAAACGTGCTCCTCAGAAGTAATTATAACTTCAAAATTAAGAGGCTCCAGTCGAAAAGGTGTAGAAAATAAAAGAATAGCTCTTTACCAAAAAATATATGTATATATAAAGGTAGCACAACAATAACAAACAATAACCCTGTAACACAACTTCCACCGAAAACAATTAAGTATTTTTTGCCTTTCAGTGCAGTGATAACGCAGTTGGGACCGGGAGGCAGGGGCTGCAGTGCCTGACTCACGGTCACCAGCGGGTGCTGTTGGGCTCCGGATTGTGGAGGCTGCAGTTGCTCACCTCTGCTGCGGGAGGCAGCTGAACACAGACCGCCACCCGAGGGGAAGGTAGAAGGGGAAAGGGTGATTCCTCCTGTGGACTCATGCCGTCAAAGACTGGCTCTGGCTGGAACTCACCTTCCCCCTCAATGGTTGTATAATGCCACAGGCAGGGAGAAGGAGGAGGAAGAGGAGGAGGGGGAAGAGCAGCTTTGCCCCTCCAGAGTTTCCCTGTAGGTGGTACCGGTTACTCTGATGAAATGTGAGGCAGAACAGGTGGGCAGAACAGGACGTGAGGGAGACCAACCGGGGCCAAAAGAAGCTGGGTTACTCCACCTGTTCATACTTGAATGTGACTTTTAAAGACCTGGTAGACTGGAGTGTGTCAGCAAGACAGTCACAGGAGATCCAGTTTCCAAGAGTGGCAGCATATCTGACAGCCAGAGGAGTTTAAACGGGGGAAATGGTAATCACTGCTTTCTACTTGGTTTGGGGTCAAAGTAAAAAGGCAGATGAGGAATCGATTTACCTGCCTTACAGAAAAGAGCAGCTTCCCATATGAATAAACCATGATAACAAAAGGGATTACAAGGCAAAAGATGCAAAGACGTAAGATGTAGGATGTGTTCCTCACCTGGAGGAAAAGCACTGTGCTTTAATGGTTTCCACTGCATTGTTGCACGTAACACCACGCCATCAGACAATCCTTCCTCTTCAACTGCACAGGTCAAACAAGGGTGAAGGAAGACAGGGGGAAAGCAAGTATTGTCTGGTGCATAAGGGCACAAAGTCCAGATTTTAGAGCTGAATCTTCCTGCTGGCTCCCCTCTTGCTGCACCGCTGAGCCTTGGCACAGAGACACTTCTTTAGAGCAGCAATCCCTGAGGGGCTGTTGCTCCCACCCATGGGGAAGCCCTTTTATTGCTGCCTACATATTTGCCACCCATGCATTGCTATTCTCTGGTTTTATGTTTAGGCACCAGGATGGTTCCCCCTCCCACCTGCACCTTAAGGTCAGAGACTTGAACTCGTCTGGGTCTGGGTTTCCACAGGCTGCCCCCGTGGACACCCCTGACATTTCCATCCACAAAATGCATTTTTCTGTGAGTCAGCAGCCTGGGAGAGTCAGGGCAGATAGGGAGTGCATTAACTCTCTATATGTTATACAGAGGCTCCAAGAATTGGGTTTTCTTTCTAAATACTGAAAAATACCCAAAATGGCCCCTACTTCTGCACCAGCACTTCTCAGAGTATTCCAGGAGACAGCATGGATGAGTGTTTCCTGCCCATTTATGCATCTTCCTTTGTGACCTACATCTGCCTTACACATCTGAGCCCAGAGCTGATGGTCCATCTGCTGCTGTCACCTTTGAGACCGTGATCTCCAGAGAGGGTAATTAATGGGACAGATCATGAAGTAGACAGAGCCTGTCAGGTGGCTCACACAGGTAGGACTGCAACTGCTGTAGCCAGTGGACAGCAAAATCCATTCAAATTTCTATAAAATATGACTGTGGCAAGCTCTTAACTGTCTTTGTATAGGCTCCCAGTGATGCTGAGAGTGTTACCCACCTGCCTGAGGTAGAGAAGTCAAGCAAGCCCATAGCATCCGTCACCTTCTTGTAAAGACACCAAATAGCAGCAGGCTGGGTCCCTGTGCCCTGGGCTCGATGTCACAGGGTGCACAAGCACTGCTGGGAGCCCTCAGGAAAGTCATTGCCCTTGCAGTGCTGCCTGCCTGGGGCACGCTCTGCCACCGCAGCAGACCCTGCACAGGCTGCTGGGCTCCTTGGGGAGCCTTCTGCTGCCAGAAGGGCAATTTCCAACCATTATGGATTTTACTTCAGAAATTGTTTTCCCATAACTGAAAATATTAAATTTTAATTGCTGGTTTTTGTGAGGGGATGAGGGGGAGGGCACTTTGTGTGGAAAAACTGACGCTGAAGCATTGACCTTCTGAGAAGTGGAACAACAAAGATCACCAGAGACTCCGTCAGCCTGAGAGATGACAAGGAAGAACTTTTAGTGTACTGGAGTTCATTGATGAATTTTAACGCTGCCGAACTGTCACAGCGGGCTCCGGGACAACTGTGTCCTGCACCAACACCTGTGGCACCCACAGATCGCCTTCTCTGCATTTACCCTGCAAGATTTCTCTGGACTAAACAAACCCAGCTAACGGCCTCACAGGAAGCAGGTAATGGCTTTGAAATTCTCCCCACACCGGTGTGTGGCAGTGTGCTCTGCTCAGTGCTCTATGGTGTGCTTTCTCACCTCTAGCCACCTCTCACCTCCAGCTTGCGAACACAGGGGTCAGTCCTCAGCTGAGCACAGGAGGCCTGACTTCCTCCTGCTTTCACAGGAGGCTGTTATGTGTCACTGTTTTGCAGCTACATGTTCCATTCAGGGGGTTCTTCATCCCTTGCTGCAGTTTCACACCAGTGACTCTTACCATGCCTCTTCCATGAGTGTGGGGACCCCTGGCACACCACCTTGGGAAATACCATGGGCTCTGTGCTTATATGGGGGATAGGATGTAGCTGGTATGCACAGCCCAGTGGGCTCAGCTGCTCCTCAGGGGAGTGGTATGCATGCAGAGAGTGGCTTTTTCAGTGCGAGGTGACAACAGGCTGACAGGGAACAGCTACAGGGCAGCCACGGTAACCACAGTGTAGCCAAGAACCTGTGTGGCTGAAAGCCCAAGAGCGCTAGGACAAGGGCTGTATGTTAGTTGCTCCATAAATTCCATCTAAAAATGACTGTATCCCAGTGGTTCAGCAATGCCATGTCAGTTCTGCCACTAGGGCAGGTGCTATGTTTTCCTCTGTTGGTTGCCACATCTGTCTCCCAGTCTTGGACACCAAAAATGGTTCACTTACTTCATGCAATCAGTTTCACTTCAATTTTTGTGTTAATGTTTAGAAGCCACTGACTTATCAGGCAATGTATCTGCAAGAGATTGTAGGAATCTGAGTGTTTTTCATGCCAGCCTCTTTGTAAACACTGCCTTTATGAGCTGCAGACAAAATCTAATTTATCCTCCTTGCTGGTAGTGAAATATTTAACAGAGTACTAGAAGACAGTCTAAGTTTGCAGGTTTGAGTTTTCTGCTCTAGCAGAATTTGGCTTCCTACCTTTGAAGGCGGAGATAAGACATGTTCTCACTTCCCCTTCTTTCTCTTGAGACCTGTTATCTGCTTGGGCTGGGGGTACCCACGCTGAGCTGTTCCTCCCCTGGACCCTGCAGAGAGAGGAGTGGATTTGAGCCTGGGGGCAGCCTGCTCACAGCAGGTACCCACTGCCCAGCCTGCAGCTGTGTTCCCACTGCCCCTGGGAGTAAAGCCACCTGAGCTACCCCATGGCTGGAAGGGTTCAAATCCTGAGGAGGTTCTCAGGCCTGGCAAGACCCAGAACAAACCTATGGGGTGGCTCCAGTATCAAAGCAAGGGTCTCAGAGGGCAAAAGGGGAATGTTGCCCAGCTCTGCTGTGGGCTGCCCTAAAGGCAGTGGCTCTCTGATAACTACAGCAGCAGCAAAGGTAAGGGACAACAAAAATTATCCTTCTGCTTTGCAGACTCTTGGCTGTTGGTGAGGCCTGGAGGGAAGGAGAGGCAGGCTTAACCACTCAATAGCTGCAAGAGTGTTGTCTATGTGTTTTTGTTATCTGGCAGCGAGTGCCAGTGTAACTTTGATGGCTGAGGGTCTGAGGGTGCTGATGAGCCACTGAACCCGTCCAGAGCTCAGCCTCACGCCTGCACTCTTCCCTTGCAGAGACGGCCCAGCATGAACAACAGCACTGAAAATACCACGCTGCAGGGTGGCATCGCACTGTTTCAGCTGATTGTCTACATCCCAGTGCTCGCTTTGGGGATCCCACTGAACGCAATTGCCTTCTGGGTCTTCTGCTGCAAATTCAAGGGGTGGACTGAGACCAAGGTGTACATGATCAACCTCATCGTCGCGGATAGTCTCCTGCTCTGTTCCCTGCCATTCTTAATGTATTTTACCAAGTACAACCATCCCATAGACCAGCTGTGTATTGCCACAAGCAATATGTATTTTACAAATATGCCTATGAGCATCTTTATCATAACCTTGATTGCAATTGATCGATACATTGCAATCAAGTTCCCTCTAAAAGCAAAGGTTTTTCGATCCCCACTGAAATCAGCTTCTATCTGTGGCTTTCTTTGGATAATGCTCATAATTTATTCCAACGTCCGTCCAAAAGTTCAGAATAGGTGGGAAAGATTCTGCTTTCGCAGGCGATATCTTGGCCCTAGCTATCTTTCTTTATTCGGTAATATCTTTGGATATTTTATTCCCTTAGGTATTGTGATTTTTTGCTCAGTACAAATCATCAGATGTCTCAAAAAGAACATGGCCACAAGCCCCCATGAGACAAAATTAATCCAGAAGGCAGTGCACATTGTTTCTGTGAATTTGTGTGTGTTCACTGTATGTTTCTCCCCTTTCTACATTGCAATGATCGTGCGGTTCATAGTGGATGTTACTGGAGCTTCTTCTATGGTGTCAGCAGTTAACACCTCTGTTAAGATCTCTGCATGCTTAGCAAATGTAAACTGCTGTTTGGATGCATTTTGCTATTATTTTGCAGCCAAGGAATTTCCAGAATTTTCTTCTATGTTCTCCACCTGTATGAGGTCCAAAACAAAAGAAAGGCAAGAGTCACAGCCACCCACAGGTCAAGTCATGGCATGAACAAGGTGCAGTGCACGAGATGTTAAGTGTCACTCTGCTGCTGAACTTTTGAGGCAGAAGGTATGAAACCACCTACAGTATGTGCAGTCATTGTAGGTATAGGCAAACCCGCAAAACAGAGCAACTCCCACCAAAGGGTCTGATATTAACCTGAATTTTGCCCTTCTGTCCTCAGTGACTTGACTTCAGCTCTGATTATAGTCTTCTATCATTGTATGGCAGCTTCAGGCACCTCCTGGTGATTTTGGTTGGCTTCATGGTCCCTCACTTTCAGTGTCTTCTGAATAATAAACCTCTCAAAAATTTCCTCCATGGACTGCAAACCCATGTACTGCTCATTTAAACCTAGAGACCATTAACTTTCTAAGTGAAAATTAACAATTATTTCCCCTACAGAAGACTGTCATCTTTCTCTTCCTGCAAACAGCAGTCTGAAACCTTTGTCCAGACATTGTCCAAACAACATAGGAAATTACTATTCCCATCACAGAAATTATCCCCCACCCAAAGTTAGATCTATCTGCTTTGTGTCAATACTTTGGCAGGTGGCCCAACAAGATGGAAGCTGCAGTGAGCAACTGTGGCATAAAAATGAATGAAACTACTCAGGTCATTCAGCTGATAATTTATGTCACAATTTTCATCTTTGATGTATTATTTAATGCTCTGGCATTACTGGTGTTTCCCTGCAAGCAGAAATAAAGGGCCGTGTGTGTATGTGACAAATTTAATCGTTGCACATTTTTTGGCCATCATTCTGCCTTTTAAAGTCACTATTCATTTATTACCATTATACACAGGAGTATTATTAGTGCCAAATTATACTGGAGATTGTGAGAGAAGACTTAGTTACTGCAGTATAAGAGCTGCCTCACAAAAGGTTCTTTAACAGTGCAGCCCAAAAATGAGCAAGGAACTTTCTGATTCCCTGAAGAGGCATGTTCTACCTTGGATAAAAATTTTTATCTTGCTTATATGTCAAGTTCATGATGGGTTTCTTAGATCCTCCTTCAGTCTGAACAAAACTTCAGCTCTCTGAGTGCTCCCATAAATGTAACAGATGAGTTATCAATTCCTGGGCCACAACAAACTACCTGCCACCATGCAGCACTGGAATAGCAATCCGTGAGGAAAATGACATGGTTATCCACAAATATTTTCCGTTTTCTAGCACAAGAGTCTGGCAAACGATGATGCAGCAGCCATAGTCCTTCAGCAGCTCCAAGCAGCAGGGCTGAACCACTGCATTTTGCTAACATTTCAGCAAGATATAACTGTCCTGCCCCTTAAAAGAAAAAGATGGTAACTGTTGCTTCAAGTTCAAATGACCAAATTGAAATTGCAGTCAAAATTTAGGCTTGAGAAAAAAAAAACCTCAAATAAACCCACAAGGAAAAGCCTACGAAGCAATTCAGGATCTTGCTTTTATGTGAGTGAGTAGCCATCAGAACTAGAATTTTTGACCTTCCTGCACAGGGAAGGCAGAGACTGGCATAAGAGAGTATTTTGCTGTTTGCTGGCATTTGGTCAGGCCTGAAACCTCAGTTGTCCCCAGAGCTTCAGGGGGCTGAAGGACACATACTGGGGAGTTTAGTGAGTTGGTTGGATGCTGCTTTCAGGTTTTGGAGGTGTGTCTCTGTGATTTTGTTTCCTTGGTGCAGCAAAGCTGTTCCGATTGCCAGCACTGCCTGGTAGTGCCCAGGGGATTCCACAAGCACTGAAGCAGTGGCAGGGAGCTGGGAAACTTTGCCATGCCCTCCCTTGTGTCTTTCACAGAGCCACAGAGCCAGTCCCTTCAGTGTTGGTGCTGCAGGAGTGTGGAGAGCGCTATAGCACAGAGAGCCCTGCCGGCACGTTATCTGCTCTGGCTCAGCTCCATACAGGCCTGAGAAAGGGGAAAGGGGAAACAGTCCCAAGGAGCAGGGCTTATCATTGTGTGAGATAGATGCAGTTACCCTAACACTGCCATTTCACAGGCTGTCCATGCTAAAAATATGATTGACATATTCTGCTGCCTACCCTGTAGTTCTGTATTGGTCAAGATCTGATGTTGCAGCGTCACATCTTGAAGGAGAAAGCCAAGGAAAAACCCACGTGGGGCAGAGGCTCTGCAGAACCCTAATGCTACAGGGTAACATTGTCAAGTGGCCCCCCTCCCATGTGTGGAAATGGTACCAGTACATCTCTCACTTTGCCAGAAGATCTGTGCACTGCAACTGGAACCAGCATGGCACAGTCTCTGGGAGGCAGGGGAGACGGAGATCTTCCCTGCAAAGGAGGCAGGAGCCCATCAAAGCTGTCTGTCAGCAATTTGTACCAGGGTACAGAAAAACCTCATCAGAAGGGCTTTCTCTGGCTGGTAAACAGTCTCGAGCAGGACATCAGGCAGAGCTTAGAAGGGAAGGAAAAATGATCAATCACATAGAACAAAAAGTGAGAAGATCAAACAGATCATCGCAAATTCTTCCTTTATATATGAAAAGCTACCTAGAACTTGCAAGCAAAGAAGTGACATCACCCAGCACTGCTGCTGATAAAAACAAAACAATTGTCCAGATGTGCCCTGAAAACTACCTGATTAGCACAACTTTCATTATGGATGAGGAACCAGAGAAGTCCAAACATTTAAAGGAATGAAATCTCACAGCAGCAGCCAGTTTCACAACACATCTAAAATACTAGATGTTAGGGAACAAATAGAAAAGTAAAACAAAAGTGGGGAAATATTACCTTATGGGGAATTCCCATTCTGCTTCAGAGATCTAAAGTAAAAAGAATAATAACACTTCACAGGAAGGGGTATGTCTGTTTTCATCTACCTTCAGCATTAAAAGGGTTTCTTCAAATTTCCAGGCAGAGCATTTCCAAGTGCAGTGTAAATCCATTATTTCTTTTCCCATCTGCAGTGGATATAGCAAACTATTTATTCTATAACTCTTTAAACAATTGATATCCTATAATCATGTTGACTTTTTTCTACAGCAGCCTAATCTTCCATTTCATTTCCCATCCTGCTCCATTTGCAATTTATTCTAAGATGCAGATCCTCTTTTTTCAGACATGTAGCATGTCAAGCTCACCCATATCTCACATTTGTACTCACAACTATTCCTATGTGTAAAACTTTGCATATGTCTTTATGCCTCACTGCATTCTTTTCCAAACCATTTATTCAACTTGTCAACACAATATACATGAGTTATATGAATAACATGAATAGTTGAGTTATTTCAGGAATGAGACAGTCTACAAGACAATGGAATTGACATTTAGTATTTCAAATAAAGTCTTAGGTTAGGTGACCATGATTAGAGAAACACTTTTCATAACACTAATAATAATATAGGGAAGTATAATTCTAAAAGAGTCTGTTCATACAGTTGCAAACTACAGTCATTTTCTTTGTACCATTATGAATTACTCTAGTCCCTTTCAGTAGACGGCCTGCCGAAGATGTGGAGATACACCTGCTTTCTCATGCAAAAACTCTGGTTCTTTTTCATCAGTTTCTTGACTGTAAGTTGTCAGAGAACTATGAAGGCAGCATGAAGGCAAATCCCCTCCCACCGGCTGTGACAGCTGGTGCTTCTCCCCACCCCTGTGCAAGATCAGAGGGACGCGACAGGTGCTACAGCTCTACAAGCTGTGAGCTTTGCAAGCACAAGCAATGCCGCTGCTGTGCTTCAGAACAACAAAGCTGAGAGGCAACACTGTTTGGTTTTGAATTAACCTGTGTTTAAGGCATTTTTATGGATCAATGAGGAACAACGTGCTTTGCCAAGGCAGTGTAATGTCACAGCCAGACAGCCGGGGGAACCTGTCAGGTGACTCAGGTGACACCTCAGGCATGACAGGATGATTCCGTCAGGGCTAAACAGATGGCCAAGTCATCTTTAACACGTTTAAACTAGTGACAGATTAATATATTCCCCAGGCCACAACTGCCCTCTGCTGTTCAGAACCAGTGGAGGTCCTGTACCCTCTTCACCGCAGCCCAGAGCAGAGCTCTGGGGCTCCATCACATTGCCCTTCTCTGGCAGCACTGCAGACAGCAGCTTCATCCTGTGGGAGGAGTGGGACATGCTTGGAAGATTCCCAGCACCCATCCTGATGGATGTTGCAAAGGCCTTAGTTGGGACCAGACTCTGATGGGCAGGCTGCAAGTCTCTCACCAGCTGAAGACACCTCCAGGGAAGCTTTGCTCTTTCAGGCTGGCAGATGATGCTCAGCCTGTGACCTGGGGTGGCAAAGTCTTGCTGTTTGAGGAATATTGCAAATTTCATGTAGAATTGGAGAAATATCCAGACATCTGGCTGGTTGCCAGTGTTTACCTGGTTGCTCCAGAACAATCCCAATTGGATGTTAAGGCTCAGTGAAAGGCTTTGCAAAGGAATGTTTTCCTCTGGCCTAGGAAATTTAAGCCCTACATCACAGCTAAAGCCCTTCTGCAAGGAACAAAACAGGTCACACTCTGTGCATAAATGTCAGATAGTTCCTGGGGACAGGGAGGAGTCCAAAAGCACAAGAATTCAAGGCAACAATACAATTAAATTCCTACACGATAACCTACCTTCACAAATTTCTTGGCCACTTGTACAATTCCTGGGGGAGGGAAGGGGTAAACAAATTGGCAGAACACTTGCACAGGGCAACATACCTCTAGCTGGATGCAAAGTGATAAAAGTGTGTTTTTAAAGTGAAGACCATCCTGGCTGCCACAAAAACAGACAGACATGTACACATTCCCTACCTCTGCAGGCAGGCCAGACTACTCTGGGCTTCAGAAAATTGTTGGGTCTTTCGGAGCTGTGTCCACCCAAATTCAAAAGTTGTCATCCCAGGCTGACATTTCAGTAACATGGCAAGGTTACTTGCCAAAACTTCCACTCCTTAGGACTTTTTTTTAATTGAAAACTTAGCTTTTTTTAAATCTTTTTTTTTTTTTTGTTAAGAAGTCTGCACCTGATTACATGATAGTTTCTGCCACTGTAACTTTAGTT